AGCTCTTGCAATTTTATAAATCGAATGTGCGCGGCTCTTGAGCGGGAACAACATATTCAAACGGAATCGCCCTCAATCCGTGAAACTCGTGCAAATTTTGAAAAGGAATGAGCGCGGCGCTAAGGCGAGAACCACATTTTGAAAACCGCCGGCCTTCAATCCGTGAAACTCTTGCAATGTTGAAAACGGATGTGCGCGCGCTAAAGCGAGAACCACATTTTGAAAATGACCCGCCCTCCATCTGTGAAGCTGTTGTCTCTTTTTAAAATTCAGAGCCGTACATGGTGAGGAGGTCTCAGGCGAAACGTCTGGCCCGCCCTAAAAACTGGCCTCGGGGTACGACAGAGAGAAGTTATCTACAAGGAGAAAGAATGGAGGGGGGGAGGAGGAGGAGGGACACAGCTGATGAGCAGTCCGTGCATCATCGGGCATCGAGAATGGCTCTGAGCTGCCGGAGCTGGCCCCTGGGAACGGGGAGAGCGGCGGCACGCCCCCGCAGAGCAGGCTGCACCCCGCAGAGTGGCAACCGCCCCCCGTAGTGCACCATGCCTGTGGACACTCGTGCGTATGTTCACATCATATATGTGTATATATATATATATATGTAATATGTGTGTATATATATAAACTACATTATGTGCATATGCGTGCATGTCTGCATACTGTGGAACCTCTTGCGCATGTGTGTATCATCTATACTGGAACACATACAAACACATATCTCTCTCACGCACCGCGATTCTCGCACACACAGAGAAGACGGGACCGAGAGGAGCCGACGAGGGGCCCGACCGAGGGGGCCGAAGCCGAGGAGGACCGACGGGCCCGAGGCAGGGACGAGGGCTAGGAGCAGGAGGAGGAGGACGAGGAGGAGGGGGAGGGGGAGGGGTAGGAGCAGGGGACTAGCTTTGGACTGCCTTCCCTGAGGGCTTGATGACTTTTCGCTAAACGACTTGTGGGGATCGAGCAAGATAAATCAAGGTCAATACAAATCAATCGAGGTACATCCAGGTCAATCGTGGCAGATCCAAGTGAGCCAAGAAATCTCGGAGGAAATTTGGAGCAACTCGTGGTCGCTCCAGCGCGAGTCGAGGGACGGCAGAAGTCGTTAAGCCCTTCACGATGCTTTGCTTTGCCCGAGGGCCCCGTTGGGAAACACACCCCGAGGAGCGCAGCAGCCCCACCTTCGGCACCGGAGCCCCCGTACGGCGACAGGAGGAGCAGGGGGAGAGGCAGAAGCGACGAGTGGGAGGGAAGGGGAGAAGCGGGAGCGGGGGGGCCCGTCATGCTTTCTGCAAGAAGAAGGAATGGCATCAACAGAAACTTTCGACGGTCCGCGGGGATTTCCTGGATCTGTGCCGGACCGCGCCTCCTGGCGCGCAGCGCGTCGGGGGCGGCGATGGAGGTGCCGCCAGGGGGTGGCCATCACAGATCCAAGACATCCAGGGTTATGGCCAAAAGTTTTGGTTTACCCGATTGTTCTCCTTCGATTTTTCACGACGGAAGGATGGCAAGGTTCGCCTGCTCCCACACTCCATTCGGGCGTTGGCGAGACCGGCGTTCTTGGGACCTGGTTTAGTGATACGTATGTGCCAAAGGACGCCGGGTAGGATCATTTCACTGACCGGAACTGCCGTCACCCGAACAAGCACCAGCTACGGCAGACTTGGCCGAGTGATTCTGGCAAATTCATTGGGCTTCAGGGTTCAATCTCTGACAGGCTACCCTTACCCGGTGCCCTGGCTATATACGAAAAATTCGGACTCGAACCGCCCCAGACATGCGACGTCCTGACTTTTCCAAGACGGGGCCCTCGGAAGCCCGACCTGCTCCGCGAGAAACCAGTTTTTCCTCCCGAGTCGTTTTTCGATGGCCCCGAGGCACGGCGAGGCGAGGGCCCCCCGAGGCCGAAAAAGGCCAAGAGCCTCCCGTCCGGCTGTTTTTTTCCGACGCGACCATGTCTGGGGCTGTTGGTCTTCGTGCCCATTCTTTCCGTGCCCACTTCGATGGTGCCCCCCCCTCCTCCTTCTCCTCCTCCTCCTCGTCCTCTGGAGCCTCCTCCTCCTCCTCCTCCTCCTCCCCGGGCCTCGGCGCCCGCTGGGGTCGCCGGCGCGCTGCCTGGGCAGAAGGGCCACGCGGGGGCCTGCTGCAGCACCATGCCGCCCTGGCCCCCGAAGGCGCCGAAGGGGAGCGCCGCCTGGGGGCCGACCGTCGTCGTCGACGTCGTCGCCGCCGCCGCCGCCGCCGCCGTCGTCGTCGTCGTCGTGTACTTCGTGGTCGTCGTCGTCGTCGTCTACTTCGTGGTCGTCGTCGTTCACTTCGTGGTCGTCGTCGTCCTCAGCGGGCTACCGGCTGCTTCTCCTCCTCCTCCTCCTCCGCGCGAATCCAGTGCCCTCCAGCCCAAGCTGCAGTCCCAGTTTTAGCCCCAGATCGAGCTTCACTTCAGCGCCAATTCAAGCTCCAGCTCGAGCCCGAGCTCCGATTCCACGTTTAGCTCCAGCTCCAGCTCCAATTCCAGCTCCTGCCCAGCTCTGGTTGCATCTCTTGCTCCAGATCCAGCCTCTGCTCCGCCTGCTACCTTTCCTGCCCATGCTTCCTGCTGGCAAGTGTGCTTGGTCTGAGACGTGTCGGACAGCATGCTTCAGGTCCGGCCGAGGACCGAGTAAAGGATCAAATAATTACATACTTGATTTGCCGCAGGATTGTTTTGCGTCGAATTTGCGAAACGTGCGCATAATGTTCGCAGGTCTACGACCATCAATGTCGTGTTTGTCAATCCGACGAGCACTCGACTCTGGGGCACATCAATTCTGTAGTAGATTGTCAAATCGGCAGGAGGGGGCGGGTGGAGGAGGGGAGGATCCTGCCTCGTGGACCCCTCTGCTGGGCTTCTTGGCCCGCGGCCTTCCCCACGGACCTCCGACGCCATGCTCATTCAGTACGGGACCCCTTGAAGCGTTCGAGTTGGAGATCGACTACATACTTGACTCACTCCAACCCTGTTTTTCGCCGAATCTACGAACGAATCCGCACACTTCCGCTAGACACACGCATATTCTCGGCGAGGAAAAATCAAGTTTTGGGTAATTGAACAAATTCGGTAGTCGATCTTCTCCACTGGAGCCTTGACAGAGGAAGACAACAACTGAATACACATAAACTGTTGGAGGTCCGCGCGAATCTCTTGGATCTGCGCTGAACCCTCCCTCCCTGGCGCGCGGAGCGCGCCGAGGACGGCGACGGAGGCGCCGCCAGAAGGTTCCAGCGCAAACCCGAACAATCCGCGACGAACTCGGACAATTTTTGCTCATGCAAATTTTATCTTCTTCTTCGACCTGACCCATTCCCCCGGACAATTGTTTAGTCTGGGCCCGGGGGCCCCTTGTCCTGGCCCCGAGGCCCGAGACGGGCCTCGAAGCACGGATGAAACTGATGAAAAACGCGCGGGCATGGCAGCGCCCTCCTGACGGGGACTTCCACTGAGGGGCCCTTTGGCCGACGACCCGGCGAGCCTAACCCTTCCCGAAGCGGGCAACGCTACAATGCGCGAGAGATACCATAAAACCCCAGACATGCGACGTCCGGATTTTTTCAGGAGACATCCCGACCCCTTCCCCGGGACCGGTTGTTCCCCCCTGCGTCGTTTTTGACGGCCCCGAGGCCCGGCGAGGGTCCCCCGAGGCCGAACATAGCCAAAAGCCTCGCGTCCTGATTTTTTTTTTTACGACGCGACCATGTCTGGGACGGCAACCTCTGGCGAGGTTCCAAAGCACCCGTCAGCGAGTGCCCCCCAGTGCAGATGCCGCGGAGCATGGAGCAGAGCCCGACGCCGCAAGTCTGGAGCCCCCCCCCCCCCGTGTGGACGGTTTCCCCGCGGGCCGTAGGCGACCCGAGGGGGAGGAGGAGGAGGAGGAGGAGGAGGAGGAGGAGGAGGAGGAGGAGGAGGAGGAGGAGAGGAGGAGGAGGAGAGGAGGAGGACGGGTCGCCTAAGCCCCCCCATGTGCCGCCCCCCCCCCTGCCACAGGCCGGGCGCCTGCGACTGCTCTGGGCCGCCCGATCCCGGGAGCGGCGGCACCATGCTGGCCTCGGGTGGGGCACGTCCTCCTCCGGGCCGGAGGCCTCCTCGGGAGGCCTCCGGCCTCCTGGGAGGCCTCGACTGTACGCTCCTTCTTATTGTGGTACTAACGCTCTAAAACTACAAACGGCTGGCCTCCCTCGGGAGGCCGGAAGCCTCCTCGGGAGGCCTCCTCCGGCCTCCCCGGGAGGCCTCCAGCCGTTTGCAGTTTTAGGGCGTTAGTACCTCCATAAGAAGGAGCGTACAGTCGACCCGTATAGCATGGATGCGCGACAAGGCTGCAAGGGGCCTTGGGCGCCCACCTCGAAGCTTTTCGAGCGGCCCGCGGCTAACGAAAAAGCGGCCAAGGATGGGCCGAGAATGCAGGGAGGCAAGGGCACCCTTGGGAAGGTTGCCCATCCTTGCTATGCGGGTTGACTGTACTCCTTGTGACTCAGGAGCGTACTCCTTGTGTTTACTACCCTTTGACAATGTACCTGTGATTAGGCGTCAGTCGTAAAGCGTTTACATTGTCGCTCAATAACAATAAACGTCGTCGGAGTAGATGGGGTCGAAGGATCTCGCCGCATCGCCGATGCATCGGCCATGCACTGGCGACGTCGACGGTACATCCGCGACGTCGGCGTGGAGAAAATTGGGCCGCACATCGAGCCGCATCGCCGATGCATCGGCGATGCGGCGCGATCCTTCGATCCCATCTACTCCGACCCCATCCAGGAGGCCTAGACAGGCGGATTGAAAAGGACAAATTAACATAGTCAGAGATATTCGAAGCAACCGCTCGTAGAAGCAAGTCGAACATGTATCGAAAATCAGCAAGCATACTCGAAACATGATGCTCAAACCAGAAAAAAACGCAGCCAAGAACAGTGGAGACCTCGTTCCCAGACTAATTACTTGTGGACTCTTGTTGAACCTTCCTCCCGTGGAGGGGCATGACCGACTTCATGCTGGCCTGGAGCGCCTCTGCGGGCAGCTGCAGCTGCAGCCCCGCGAACTGCTGCATCGGGCTGTGCAGCGGGCTGCCGCACGGCGTGGAGGGCGCGGAGGGCTCCGCGGACTGGCACTCGAAGTACGAAGGCATCGCCGGCAGCATGCCCCAGGACGCGAAGCCCGCCTCGCTGCCGCTGTCGCGGGCCAGGCTCGAGGCCACCGAGACGGAGGACCGTGGCGAGCCGAACGGCGACGGCAGGCTGCTGTGGCCGTCGTCCCCGTGCCGGGCGCCCCTGGCGGGGAGCAGACCGACGGCAAGCGCGCGCGGGTCTGTGGCCCCAAGATCGCCGCCACCTCCCGCGGCGGAAGCTGTGAGCACCGTCCCCCCGCCCCCAGACGGTGGACAAAACACGCCGCGGCTGAAGGGAGCCCCCTCTCCGGAAACCACCGGGGGGAGATCCCCCCCCACAGATCGCCCCGAACGCAGACGCACCGACGCCCCTCCCCAAACCGCGCCGAAGCGAGCGCGAGCGCGACGACACTCCTTGACATCCGCCGATGATTTTTTTCGTCAACACGCGACCCCAAACGGGCCGACCCCTTCCACGGAGCAACTACTTTTTCGCCCCAGATCCCCAGATCCATGTTTGATAGCCCCGCAGCCCGATAACGGGCCCCAGAGGCCGAACTCGAGGACAACAAACGCCCGGACTGAAAACGGAAGGCGGACGAACCCCCCTTGATCAAGACGCTTTTTAGTGTAAGCTGCCAAGGTCACCCCACGTGCGCACGGCATTGTACTCCGAGTGCACCCCAGCGCGGTAGCTCATCGTAGTCCCAGGAAACCGAACGTATCCAGCGAAACACGCGTCGACTCGTAAACAAGCTTTTAGAGGTTCCACCCGTACGCTCGGAATGCCAAGTCGAGCGAACCCTGTGCAGGTCTCGCCAGTCGACTTCTCTGGGAGGGCCTGCTGTCGGTGGCCGAGAAACACATCGCCGGAGCTCTGAGACTGTTTCGCGAGCGCCCCGGCCTCGGGCTGCGAGCTCGCGAGCCCTTGCGGTCGCCGCCGGAGGGCCTCTCGATGCCGTGGTGCTGGTAGAGCTGCGCCACCGCGGCGGGGGCGTCGTCGTAGCCCGCGCGCTGGTAGAGCCTCGCCAGGATGCTGTGGGTGATGGCCGAGGGGCGCATGCCGCTGTGGATCATCTCCTCTCGGCTGCACGCGGGAGCTTGGCCGCCTCGCTACGCAGCACGCAACACGTGGCGTGGTGGAACGGAGCTCCACACGCAGGCTGAAAAGCGTAAGGTCCGGCGCGAAGCCTTCGCCACGGCGTGGACCAACACTTGCCGTACCAAGACGCATCGTGTCAACACGGACGTCTTGAACACGGCAAGTGCTGCGTTTTTCAACACTGGTGCAGCAGGGCAGCTAACGCGCAGGAGTGCTCCCAGGGCAAGATCGACTTTTGGTGGGCGGCCTGCTGATCGCTGCGTTGCGACGCGAGAGCGCCGGCCGAAAGCCGCGCACCGGAGGTCACTCTGGCGAAGGGGGTCACTCTTGCGCGGGGCGGTCCTCGAACAGCCCGACGCCGGCGGTGATGTCGTTCGCCTTGACGCAGCCATCCATAAGCGTGTTGTAGACCAGCTCGTCGCACCTGAGCCCGCGAGCCTTGATGGTCTCGGCCGTCTGCAGCGCCTTGTCCAGGTCTCCCACGTGGCAGTACCCCTTCAGCAGGGTGGAGAAGGTGATCAGGTCGGGCTCATGGGAATTCTCCGTGTCCAGCATCTCCCGTAACAGGCCTTCTGCCCCAGCGAGGTCCGAGCACTTGACACACGCGTCGAGGATGGAATTGTATGTGATAGTGTTGTAGGGGACCCCCTCCTTGGGCATCTCGCGAAAAAGCTCCATTGCGCGAGTCAGGTCCTTCTCGAGCCCGTAGCCCTTGATCAACGTAGTGTATAAAATCGTGTTCTTATGTTTTCCCTCGGCCCGCATGCCTTTGAAGATCTCAACCGCCTTAGCCAAATTGTTGCACTTCACGCATGCGTCGATCATGCAGCCGTATGTCACGGCATTGGCCTGGCCGCGCTGCTTCTCCATATCGCCCCACACCTGGAGGACCTTCTGCATGTCTCCAGCCTGGCCGTAAGTCTTCACCAGGATGCCCAAAGTCACCGGTGAAGGCTGCACGTTGAGCTCGCGCATGCGGTTGACAATCGATTCCAACCGGCTGAGGTCCTTCAAGCGGCAGCAAGTGTCCAAGAGGGCATTGAAGAGCACCTCGTCCACGTCCTTGGGTTGCAAATCGATGAACTTTTCCACCAACGCAATGCCACGGTACACGCGCGACGGGTTGAGCCTTCCACGACCATCGCCGACAGTCTTCATCAACATGCGTGAGACCGTGTACTTATCAGTGGTGGTCTTCTGCCGTTGCATCTCCTCGAGAGCATTCCAAGCTTCGTCAACGCCCTTGCGCCGCATCAAATCCTCTAGAGAAAAAAAGCGTTTTTTTTCATACATTCATGAGACATTGCAATTTCTCGCATCGCGATCCAGACGCTTCCTGACCAAATACTGTCGACCTCTTTCCCACAAAATACAATCTGGCTTAGACATTTGAATGCATGTGACCTCCTATCTCGAACGACACAGAATCAACAACCGTTAATGATGCCAGAATTTCAAACAGGATAGTTCAAATCGAGTCGCGCGCCTGGGTGGGACAGAGAACAAGTGACGGGATAAACGAGAGGGGCCTATTTTCGTCCGATCTTCTTCTCCTGCCTCCTCCAGCTCCTCCGCCTCATGCCTTTCCTCCCTTTCGGCCTTTCAGATTTTACCTACAGGATCCCGCGACGAGAAACCATCTGGAGAGGAGAAGAAGTAAGCAGTGGCGAGAGAGGAATCAAGTGAAGTGCGCAGGAGGCGAGTCCGAGAGCGAGGATGACTAGGACTGGCGAGGAGAAGCCAGGAGTGAAGATGAGGAGCGCAGATGTTCTGGAGGCGTTTGGGGAGGTAGGGATGTTAACAGGAAGTAGTAATCAGGGAGGAGTGCAGAAGAGTCAAGTGAAGTGAAGGCGCGGTCCGACGCGACCTCCCTGGAAGGGAAAACGCTAAAACCCTGAGTAACGAAGTATGCGCATTGCTTGTGACGTCTGGCGCGGCTTCCGTGGATGAGAAAGGGTACTGGGCGGACTTTTGTAATATGAAGTGTGCCAATCCTCAAATGTAACAATCTATGTGTGCGACGGGAATGGTCTGACGAACGCGGCCTCTGGATGGGGGGGAACTGCCACCAGTGGGACTGGTGGAGTGGGACGGGCCCGATGCTCTTGTGTAGCAAGGTCTGCGGATAGCGGGTGAGGTCTGACGTGGCCTCCCTGTGGTAGTAACGGCTACTGGTGGAACTGGTGGAATTGAACGGGCACGAGCCCTGATAAATCCGCCGGTCCTTCGGCGTGTGTGAGACGCTTCTCCGTTTGAGTCGTCGCCGTCGTCGTCGTCGTCGCCGTCGGCGTCGCCGTCGGCGTCGGCGTCGGCGTCGGCGTCGTCGTCGTCGTCGTCGTCGTCCGTCCCAGGGAAATTCGGGGACAAAGGGGAGGACCGTCGTGGTTCGGTCGATCCCCTTTCCTTCGTCTCTTCCCTGCCGCGGGGGTGGGGTGGGTGGGGGGTGGGGGTGGGGGTCTTTCGTCATGTTACCGCCCCCCGCATGGGGTTCCGGGAAGTCCTGGGCGGGGGTCGCCAACGGGGGTCCCGCTTTCAGGGTCGTCGTCACCAGCCGTGAGGCCTTCGCAAGAACTCAGTATGCGCATAGCGGGCGCGGTCTGGCGTGGCGTCCCTGGAAGGGCAATCACCACTGGCGGGACAGGTTGGGCGAGAAGGACACGAACCCATATAAAGCAACAGGATATCGCATAGCAGGCACGGTCTGATGCGGTCTTCTTGGAGGGGCAAATACATGGCAGAAAGAGGACGGAAAAGGAGGAAGAGCAGTGGAGAATGGCTGGAGAAGTTGGAGGCCTATCTAACATGCGGGGAAGGACTGAGGTCATAGCCTCGCAACTCCCGCGCCTTTCAATCAGATTTTCCACACGGGGGGCCCTACCATTTCCCTTCACCCCCATCCGGCGCCCCAAGCTGGAGAATGCTGGAAAAACTCCGATTCGCCGGTTTCCGTTCGTGATCGTCCTCCGCCCGCAGTTTTGCTCAGAAAAAGGCTTGAATCGGAAGGTGTGGGACTCCTGCGCGGAACCATCTCCTCGTTCTCCTGTTCATCATCATCACCTCCCTCCTCCTCCTCCTCCTTCTCCTTCTCACGAGGCTCCTCCTCTGTCTTCCTGCTCCTTCTCTTCCTCCTCATCCTCCTTCCAATCGGATTCCCCTATCATGCCGTAATCGCTGTTAGCCGTGAAACAAGATGCAACGTAATCCTGCGAAACTTGCTGGGGCAGAATTAAGGGACACCTGATGACAAACACGACAACACAACAAGCAAACAAAAACAATCGAGGGGAACTTGCTGGGAGTGGGGGGTGAGGTGGGGGGTCCCCCAGCAAGTTCCCAAGGATTGTTTTGTTTGGTCTGCTTTGCTTTTTTTCCGATGTTTTTTATTGATTCTGCCCCGAAGGGAGTTTGTGATTGGGAGGAGGGGTCGGAGGAGAAGGAGGATGGGGGGGATGGGGCGAGCCCCCCAGCAGCCTCCCCGTATCTTTGTAACACGCATCCTGAGTAGGGCTCGTGTTTTCAGTGGACACGGCGCAGAATTCACCCCTACACCTCTGTTCCTTATCACAATCTCACCACCACCACCGCTATCAACATCACATTGCATCGCCATCATCATCGTCGCCATCACCATCGTCATCATCGCACGCGGACCCATCACCATGTACCGTTCACCACCACATCATCATCATGCTCATCCTCATCCTCATCCTCATCAGCATCAACATCATCACCATCACCATCACCATCACCATCATCATCATCATCATCATCAACATCATCATCATCACCATCATCATCCGTATCATTATCCTCATCCTCATCATCATCCTCATCCTCATCCTCATTACCGTCATCACCGCACACACATACACGCACATTCATACACACCACAACCACCATTACCACACTGTCGTTTCAAATAAACGCAACCACTCATCCACATGCTCAATGCCGCTCACACACCCACGCATTCATGCTGAGGAAATCTCGAACGTGAGCCGCGTCTGTGAATTAGTTGTCTAGAACGGGAGCCCGCTCCCTAATCCAACGGGGCCGCCAGATCACGTTATCAATCTGGACGGGTCATCCATATCCTGTAACCATCGTCACTTTTGGACTCCTGAGGCATGGATCTGGAGCTAGTCTCGAGCCGGGGCGTCGTCTGTGAGTGAATTGGCAGGAAATCTCTGCGGGAACCCCCTCTCCATGGGGCCGCCGGATCACGCTACTAATCCGAGCGGGTCATCCATACGTAATAGCGGTGGCCACGTTTGGGTTCCTGACGTGTGGATCTAGAGGTGGTCTCGAAAGATAGCTTTGCATGCACGAAAACATATTTCCAGCGGGCCCCCCTCCCTATGAGGCCGCCGAATCATGTTTGCAATCCGAACGGGTCATCCTGTCCTGTAGCCTTCACCACTTTTTGGCTCCTAAGGCGTGGATCTGGAGATCGTCTCGAGCGTGAGCCTCGTCTGCGAGTACACCGAGAGGAAGTCTCAGTCGGGATCCCCCCTCCCTATGGGGCCGACAACTCATGTTAGTAAACCGAGGGGGTCATCCACATCCTGTAACCTTCGTCCTTTTGGGGCTCCGGGTTTGTCCCGACGGCCAGATCTAGCGCCCCAGCGGCCAGCGGGAATTGTCTACGTGACCTGGCCCGCGGGGTTACCCCGGCGGCTTCGCGATCAAGCTGTCGGAGGACGCGCCCCAGCCGGCCGCGACGGCGACGGCGCCGATGAACAACGTGCGCCCGTGCGAAGAGGGGCGGGGGAGGAGGTGCGCGAGGAGAAGAGGCAGGAGGAGGAGGAGGAGGATACTGAGGAGGATGAGAAGGGGGAAGAGGGGGGAGGGAGATGAAGAGCATGAGGATGATGACGACGATGTTGATGATGACGATGACGGTGATGATGGTGATGAAAATGATGCGGATGATGCTGCTGATGATGATAATGATGCTGACGATGGTGATGATGTTGATGCTGTTGCTGTGAATGAGGATGCCAGCGACGCCAGGTACGATGACGAAGACGGTGGCCATGATCATGGTGATGACTTACCCTTGGTTCTTCTGCGGGGAACTGTTCTCTCTACTCGGCTCGCTGGTCGAAGCGACTCGGATCCGAGGCTAGAGAGGCGGGTGACACGGCACGCCTCTCAAAAACCACACCCTGGCAAAAAGTGTGAGAAGTGGGAAAGGGGGGAGAGCCACGCGGCTCAAAGGGAGGGGCGCCAGGATGACTTCGGGGCAACGTCAATGAGGATCGAGGAGACCGATACCCCAAACCCCGCTAAGTCATTTATGTGCACGCACCCCATGGCTTACCCTTGGTTCTTCTGCGGGGAACTGTTCTCTCTACTCGGCTCGCTGGTCGAAGCGACTTGGGTCCGAGGCAAAAGAGGCGGGTGACACGGCAGGCCTCTCGAAAACCACATCCAAGTCAGGTTCCCGAAACAGAAGCTGTTCTCTCACCGCAAGGCATTGCGCCCGCAGGGCGTTTAAAACTGTGAAAACAACGGCACGATGGAAACGCGCGGGAATCATCTCCTATGGGCGCGGGCGGGAGGCGTGTTTCTCATGGCCGTATCGGGCCCTAACCCCTGGGCATCGCAAGCCCAAGCGGTTGAAATTGGAAGGCGAAACGTTACTGACAAAACTCGCAACGGAGAGCCACATGATTCCTTGACACCTACACATGTGGGACTGGAACGCGGGGAGGAGGCAAGCGGGCAATCGGGCAACAATCCGCTCACTTACTGACTGGAAACAACTGATTGCCAAGGGGAGACCGATTCGTGCTGCCTCTGCCACGAGCCTTATCAACCCTGTGGGCAGTGACGAATCATTCACGGAGGCGAGTAAGACGCCACAGCTACCCTTTCTCATGTCTGCACGCAGTCGAAACGACAGGACGCTCGGGACATCCGTATCCTTCACGTATCTGACAAGAAACCCCGAAGCACACACATGAGGGGGCGCTGCGAACCGATCTCCCGCAACAAGAACAACCAGCCGCCTTTCACCTATCGGTCATGCAAAGCGGGCTTTGGCAGCACTCGGCCGTGCACCACAAAACTTCACGAATATTTCCTCGCACAGCTCGGCATGTTGGCGCAACCACATCGGATGGGCCATCCATGTGGAGCTGAGACGCACGCCCTTCTCGTACCTTACCACCGAACGGTCCGACTTCCAGCCCCCCCCCCCCGCTTTTTGACCTCCGCGAACGTTCTGCGTCGCGTGGCCATGTCCGAGCTGGCTC